GTTTGACTTCAGACAAACCTAAAACTTCAAATATTCTGGAACATTGAGAGTAGTAAATACAATAATTTTTTACTTCAAATATAAGACTTTCAAAAAACCAAAGAAGCTACTATTAGGGCAATAAACAAGCTAAGGGGCACTTTGATTCACATGATTCTAAAAACACAGAAATAGGAAATACGTAGGATTGGAATGTCATGCTCATCTCAACCATACATGATTTTGCGTTGTTTGATTGCATCATAGGGAAAACAAAGGATTCTTTCAAAGAGGTTTGAGTAGATGCGAAAAGTCCTATGGGAAGTAGTAGAAAGAAATCCTTAGGAAATCAGAAACATCTATAAGTTCATGATAAGATCATAACAAACATCTATAAGTTCAAATAAGAAACATTTATTTTTTGGTTACATCGATGATCTCATGTATAGTAGATTAGGTGTATCAATCTCGCCTCTTCATGTGGGACTGGACACGGCGGTGCCACAAGAAGCCAATCTTAGGCTAGCTAGTCAGACTACCTCGAATGTATTCATGTTGAAAAGATTATACCATAGATAGGGAGGGTGAGAATAAACCACTCAAGTATGATGTTACACCCTCCATGATATATGTTCAACTTTCCATGTTAATTGCCAAGGCAACTAGCGCTGAAGAACGCCATTGGTCCTTACTCCAACCTGGCAATTAAAATGCCATTTACTTCTATTTTGTGCAATGATACTAAAATGTCAACCCTTGTGGAACACATAGATTAAGACAATCAATATGACATACATATTTACAAAATACGGGTAATTCAAAAGACTATATCTGGAGGGTGGATAGACAGATATAACTATTCTAATTTTCCCAAATCAAGGTCCAAAAGGCATTAGCATAAATCTAGTGCAAAATGGAGGTGTGGTATACGATCTATTTGTGAAGTGCCACTAAAGTATAAGAGCATCACCGACACGACATTTTAGTTGCACCACACATAAGTCTCTTTCAAAGTAAGTGTTTTGTGCAGTACACTAGAAGTGATAGTAGCGATGAGGTGAAATATATCCAAGTTTGCATAAAATAAAATATATATTTGGTTTACTTCCAATTAGCACAAAAACATATCATTGAAGGTCTTTCCGAGGAAGAAGAGATAGAGGAATTATAAGCGAGGCACCTCAGATTCATAATGATCCTTATATACTACATAATGCATGATGAATCTACACTTACAACCAAGTCAAGATACACTGGTAAGCAACACACACAACCAAATAAATCAACGACATCAATATGCAAGTGCATCCATATGATCACCACTATCAACCGCTTGTTCATAGGACACTAGTAGAAAAGGGGGCATCAGTCCCGGTTCGTAAGGGCCTTTAGTCCCGGTTCTTGAACCGGGACTAAAGGGTCGTTACTAATGCCTCCCCCCTTTAGTCCCAGTTCAAACTGGAACCGGGACTAAAGGTCGCGGCCACGTGGAGCTCCACCTTTAGTCCCGGTTGGTAACACCAACCGGGACTAAAGGAAATTTTATGATTTTTCTTTTTGTATTTTTTGATTTTTTTTATTTTCAAATTTCTGAATTATTTTAACCTCTAATCTCTAATCACCACCCCTCATCACTGCTCAATTTATCCTCTAATCTCTAGTCACCCATCATCATTCCTAATCATCTAACTTCCCGAACGGCCACCCATCCTCCCACTCCCCCAGCCTGAGCACGCTTAACTTTCGGGTTCTATTCTCCCTCGTTTCCAAGTCTGCACTTGTTGTTTTCCTGACAATAGTAAGATGTCAATCCTATTAACCCTCAGGAATTTTGCGTGAGCATGAAGTGACACATTTCGCTGTTTGAGTTTGAAACTATTGTTTTAAAAAACAATAATTATTTAGTAACACTAATATTTCTTGAATAATTAGTTTGACCATTGTTTGACCATTGTTTGACCACAGTTTGACCATAGTTTGACCAGATTTGACCAAAATTCAAAATAACTGAAATAATTATTTAGTAACACTAATATTCTAGAATAATTAGTTTGACCATTGTTTGACCACAGTTTGAAATTTTTTCGATTTTTTCCACTCTAGATCTTAAAAGCCTCGTAACTTTTTTTCTGTTAGGTTTTTGAGGATTTTGAAAATGTTTAACAGAGGTCCCCCTGTTAAATTCGGATGTAACTTTTCGAGTAGATGATTTATCGTATAAAAAACTTTTACATCCGAGTTAGTATGCAAAAGTTATGCCCATTTTACTAAATTTTAGAGAGATTTTGCAAATAAAGTCGAAATTCACATTTGCAAATTTTCCCAACAACTAGACCACATATCACATGGGAAACTTTTTTTTATTATTTTTTTGACATTTTCATCATTTTCTTTTATTTTTTCTAAAACTGAAAAGGCGATCCACGAGGGGTGAAAATGGGACCTTTAGTACCGGTTCGTGCCATGAACCGGTACTAATGCCTCAAACCCCATTAGTACCGGTTGGTGGCACCAACCGGGACTAAAGGTCTAACCCTTTAGTCCCGGTTGGTGCCACGAACCGGGACTAAAGGGCATCACACCCTTTAGTCCCGGTTCGTGGCACCAACCGGGACTAAAAGGCCCAGACGAACCGGGAAAAATGGCCCACGTGGTCCCTGGGCGCATGAACCGGGACTAATGCCCCCATTAGTCCCGGTTCTAGACTGAACCGGGACTAATGGGCTAACCCGCGGTGGACCAAAGTCCTCTATTCTACTAGTGGGACCACCATAAGTAGATTTAATTGCTAGCAGAAATATCTATTGCACAAATACTACCACAAATCTATATGGCCACCACTATCACAAAGTATATCTATGCATAGAGCATAATATAGCACAAACACTTCATCATTTGAACATGACACATATCATGTACAAAAGGCAGAAGGAGGGCCATGGATCCCATCCACCGGAGTTATAGATGGCAGAAGACCCGCCATTGACACAACGGTAACTTATCGCCCTCGAAAGGGCAGGACTACGAGAGTTGCCACACCATTATTATGAAGTTGACATTGTATTTGTACAAAAGTTATCACCTTTTGATGCCAACACGGTGGCAACTCCATAAAACACCGGGTGAAAAGTTTAGAGTGATTTTTTCCTGATAATCCATACTCACCGTCTGAAGCCGTCGTTTCATGAAGCCAACAATTAAAATTGATTATCAATTGAGCATAAGGGTGAACTATAGAACTTTTTTTCACTTTCTAAATGAAGTGTTAATAAGTTGACGAGATTAGTTTCATCTGCCTGGCCTTGCAATTTCACCTTACCATATATGTGGTCATTTATTTTTTGCATATAAATTGATTGGATTGCTATAGTGCAAACTCGTCCACATTGACACTCTAGGAACACGTCCCGCTCTATCCCCCTTGCACGGGCGTTTACACATTTTATTTTCCCATTTAAAAATGGTTTGTGTTAGACTTACCCGAGACAAGTTTTTTGACTTGTCATGAATGTTGTGTCTTATATAGTTCTTCTTAGTGTCGATTGCTACTTTAATTAGTACTTTATTGATTTGTTCTTACCAATAAACAGTCAAATTCAGGATTTCCATTGCCTTGACAGCTTGTTTTTGTATGGGGCGGGTTGATCTCTGTCGGTGATTAATTAATTAGGCTCTGTTTGGATGTGTAGCTTATCTTGCTCATTTGGGCATTGCCTATAAAAGCAAGACATGTTGCTCGGTTAGTACTAGCCATGAGCACGTGATGTGTAGGCAGTTGGAGGACGCTTTCATTCTCTTTCCCATGCTGGGGAGCCAATCCGACTCTTCTCCTTCGGCAAGGTTCTAGAGTCAGGTATTGACTATATTTCCTAACAAAGCCGATTTTCACAAGGTACCAAACGTCCTGCTTTCTTTAATGTGGCTAGTATCGTTCTAGCCCAAGATCCAAACACACACTTAGGGCTCTATTGATTCAAAGGAAATCCATAGGATTTTTGGAGGACTCGAATCCTTCGTTCTTTTTCTATGATGGCCGTTTGATTTGCATGATTGGAATCCTTAGGAATTTTTCCATAGGATTCATTTGTGCTTCATTTTGGAGGAAACTTTCCATCCACTCAAACCTTTTGATAGAACTCCTTTGTTTTTCCTGTGCTGTAAAACACTCTTCCACCCAAATTCATGTAGTTTTGTAATCATATAGGATAAAAGATGACATGCCACTTTATTGCTGTGTTTTCCCTATTCTCGTGTTTTGAGAATCCTACGAATCAGAGGCCCTTAGTGTGTCCGATGCATAGCACTCAACCACTGCTAGTACAAGTTGCTCCTTGTGTATTCTCTTACCTGTGCGAGTTCCTCTTCTTGCCCAACAATCACTATTGTCCCCTCACCACATCATGGTGAATTGGTGATAGGGCACACACTTTCAGTCGTAAGATCATGGTATCTCACTTCTTTGAATAAATCAGTGGAGTACATGGGAGCATTAGTATTTAGATGGATTGATGGCTTGGTCGTCTTTTTTAGTAGACAGGTGGGAGGTAATGGTCTAATCAAGGAAGAAATGGATCAATGATGCTCCCAAAATGTCGCGGCAATATGTGCGTGCGTCGCATCTTGTATATTTCCAAACATGGCGCCATTTCTGTTGAAGTATAAATCTATAAATGGACCAACAGATGATCATAAGACTGGCTCCCTATCCTCACCAAATTAAGGGTGAGCCATGCGTATCAGCAAGACGATAATTATTGTGCCCACCTTACTCATGCGACTCAGTTCATCAATTTGTTTGACCTGATTAAATGATGGAGTATAGCTCGAGCTTTTGATTATATCTGTAATTATCTATATTGGATAGATAATCAAAATCTGCTGTTAGAGAGAGAAGACACGGTTGTTTGTGTATAAAAGCCGTTGGTAGGAAGAGCTAGGGATCACACACACATACATCTATCAAAGCTGTTAGCAGTGAAGTTCCAGAGCTCCAGAACCACGTGCTCGGCTACGTCAAGTCCATGTCGCTCAAGTGCGCCGTGGATCTCGGCATCCCGGGCTCTATCCACCGCCGCGGCGGCACCGCCACCCTGGCCAACACCAAGGTGCACCCGGCCAGGCTTGCCGACCTCCGGCGCGTCATGGAGCTGCTCAGCGCCTCGGGTATCTTCAGCGCCACCGCCTGTGCTACCGATGGCACGGCCGCCGAAGTGCAGTACGGGATGACCACGGCGTGCCGCTTCCTCGTCGGCTGGCGCAACCTGTCCCCCGTGGCGCAACCTGACCACAGCGAGCTCTTCCTCGAGGTCATCCTTCTGGACAAGGGCCGCATCTTCCGCGGCCTGAGCTCGCTCGTGGATGTCGGCGGCGGCAACGGCGCGGGCACGCGGGTGATGGCCAAGGCGTTCCCGCGCATCAAGTGCGACGTGCTAGACCTCCCTCACGTTGTCGGCCAGGCCGCCGGTGACCATGGCAACCTGCGTATCGTCGCAGGTGACATGTTTGAATCCATTCCACCCGCGGATGTTGTCTTGCTCAACGTATGTCTATGTACCCCATTGACACCACCTAGTATTGCTATGTGGTTTGATCCTGTCGTACCATTAATCCAAAAGATTTTCTGAAAAGTGAAACTGACCAAATTTTGAACGAGTTTACAGACAATTCAGACATATAAACCATGACAATACAACTGATGATGTATCCTATGACATACATTTGGTATTCTAAATGTACATATTTGTCTATAACTATGGTCAAAGTTTGTAATGACGGACTTTAAAAAAGATATAGGCTGGAACAGATGTAGTACTCTAAGACCCTTTTTTTCCTTCCTAAAAATCAATATACCCTGGCGTATGCGTCAGCCTTGATTGTTACCTTTATCTTATTTCATTCACTAAACCGTCCATCTTTTTCTTTAAAGTTTTTTTCTCTATCAATTCTTATAGTGCAATCAATCTTCTCATTTTCCTCTTTCTCTAATTATCCGTTGTTTTCTTCTTTTCTTCTAAATTTTCTCTCTATATTTGTTATAGAACATCATGCATGACTGGGGTCATCAAGATTGCGTCAAAATACTTCAACTTGCAAGGAGGCTATCCCTGCCAAGAACTCAGGAGGGAAGGTGATAATCATAGATATGGTAAAGGGATCTGCAGATGGTGTTGGGACAAACCCTGGACCAGCTCGCCACTCATCTTCTCTCACTCGCTCGGACGAAGGTGGAAGAAGGAGCACACTAGATTTTCCCGGCGCACAAACGCCTCCGCCGCACGAACGGCGCCTCGGCCACACGAACAGCCTTACTTTACTGGGTACATACCCCCGGCTCGGCTCATACCGTCACCGTGGCTCGGCAACAAACCGGCACAACTACAAGCAATACAAGAGGGGGTTCTTATGAGCAATGCAACATCTACGTAAAAGTCCTACGTAAAGTTACGAAAAAGCTGACTTGGTCTGTTTTGGTTGGAGGAAAGAAAAAGCCCAGGCCCACCCGCTGGAATATGGAAGGGGGGGGGGGGGTTATGATTGGTTGGTTAAGGAAAATCACGTAACATTACGTTACAGCTTTCGTAGGTACATATTATCGGGTTCTTATACCCCGGTGCACACACACCCAACACCCTCTAACAGCACGCACGCACGCACTAGCAAATCCACGACATACACGCACGCACGCCGGCCAAGTCACACAAACGGCTTGCTCCTTCTTTTGCTCTCCACCAACTACATGCACGCACACGTCCTATGCTTGTGCTGCATCTCCACAACAGCCGCTTGACCCAGCAAAACAAACATGCATGTAGATACCGCAAACCTCTTTTTACTGGATACGGTACCTACCGGCAACACATCTGCCACTCAAATGCGAAGTGATTCGTTTTATAGGTAGGCCCACAGACAATATATAGATGTGTATAATGAGAGTCTATCTCTTGTATCTTTATTAATAGTCAAATCAATGTCAGATGAGAGGGGCCCATGTCAGCAATAAAGTTATACTTGACGTATGCATGGTCCATTCTCTCTCCTCATTCTCACGTACAGAAGATGCATCACATGTCAGACTAATTCATGCCCTTTATTTTCTCTTTACCAATTTCATTCATTCATATATTTTAAACTGCAACTTGATTTTTAAAACATTTTATATATTTGAACTCCTGATGCCAAGACCTTTAGAACAAGATCAAGCTTGAATACATTCAAACATCTTTTAATTTCAACATTTCAAATGAGTGAAACATGTTTTGTGGAATACACGAAAAAAGTATTGGAGCGAAATCAAAATTTTCAAATGAGTACATTCTGTTTTCATGCATATGAAACAAATTTCATTCTGAAATATTTTTAACTTGTTATTTAGAAAATGTGAAACTAGTTATTTTAAAACATGTAAGACGGATTATTTCAAAAAAGAATTATAAATGAGTGAAATCTATTTTATGAAGCGAGTGAAATTGTTTTTTATTTCATTTAAATTTCACTTATTTCAAGTTAAAATTTATATTTCAAACATTTGAAACTAACTTTTGAGATGATTGAAATACATTTGAATATATATCATAAATACAAAGTGGAATTAGTTTTTGAGATATATTTTGTAATGAGTGAAACCAGTTTTATGAAATGGGTTATTTCAATTAACTGAAATATGTTTTTTGAATTCAATGAAACCAATTTTATGAATTGAATGAAAACATTGTTTGAATGAGTGAAATCGTTTTTGAAATGAGTGAAATATAGTTTTCGAAATGAGTGAAATCTATTTTATGAAGCGACTGAAATTGTTTTTTCATTTCATTTAAATTTCACTTATTTCAAGTTAAAATTTATATTTCAAACATATGAAACTAACTTTTGAGATGATTGAAATACATTTGAATATATTTCATAAATACAATGTGGAATTAGTTTTTGAGATATATTTTGTAATGAGTGAAACCAGTTTTATGAAATGGGTTATTTCCATTAACTGAAATATGTTTTTTTAATTCAATGAAACCAACTTTATGAATTGAATGAAAACATTGTTTGAATGAGTGAAATCATTTTTGAAATGAGTGAAATATAGGTTCTGAAATGAGTGTAATCTGTTTTATGAAGCGAGCGATTTTTTCCTTTTCAATTGAGTGAAATCGGTTTTTGTGAAATAATTGAAATGAGTTATTTGAAACAAGTTACATCAAATGAGTGAAGTTAGTTTTATGAAATAATTTAAGTTTATTTTTGTGACATATACCAGCTTCTTGAAACAAGAATATTTTTATTTTCAAATGAGTGAATTAGCTTTTCAAATTATTGAAACATGTATTTCTTTCAATTGAAACAACTCAAATCAGTTGTATCAAATGAGTGAAATGTCTTGTTTAATTCAATGAGTGAAATCAGTTTTCTGAAATGTTTGAAATAAATTTTCGAATGAGTGATGTCCATCATTTTGAAGTGAAATATGTTTATTCAAATGATTGAAAATGAGCGAAACACTAGAAAAAACTTTGTGAATTCCATATTCCAGTTTGTGAAAAATGAGCGAAACACTAGGAAAAGCTAGAAAAAATGTTGTCATATCAAATATATCCGTGTCTTTGCGAGTTCCATATCCCAGTTTGTGAAAAATGAGCGAAACACTAGGAAAAGCTAGAAAAAATGTTGTCATATCAAATATATCCGTCTCTGTGAGTTCCATATTCCAGTTTATGAAAATGAGTGAAACACTAGAAAAAACTTTTATGACATAGTGAAACAATCTAATGTTTTATGAAAGTGATTTCAAACAAAATTGAAATACATAAAATTAAATATATTTCAAACATATCCAAAATTGATCTTGTTCTGAAGGTCTTGTCACCACGAATTCAAATATATAAAAAGTTTCGATAATAGACATTTGGTTCAAAAGATATGAATCATTAAAAATATGAGGAGAAAAATAAAAACATGTCATATGTATGACTTGAGAGAATGCAGGCCTGTTTGGTTGGAGGCCTGGAGGAAAATTGCCTGGCCTGAAGTCTGCCTGAGTCTTGCCTGGAGGTGTTTGGATCGTACCTGGAAAAGCAAACACGAGCCTGGCCTGTATGGTCATTAGCCTGGCTAGAGCAACAGGCATGTTCGTTAGCCTGGCCCAGGCGTGGCGATTCGGTCGCCTGGCTTATGCCTGGTCTAGCCTGGATGCTGATTTGTACTTTTTTTTGCATGTTGTTCAGTACAGTCGTGGGCCAAACATTTGTTTATTGGCTGATAATAGCAAGCTACGCTGAGGACACCAACCAAACACGTCACACCCAGGCTGGCCTGGCCAGGCAAGTTTTCGCAAATTTTCAGGCGCACACCAGGCTCCCTTTTCACCCAGGCATGTTGCCCAGGTATCCAACCAAACTAGCCCTGCATGCATGCATGCACCGTTCACTCCACTCTAACTCTCTCTCTTCTCTAAAGCTGACAATATCTGACAGCAATACATGTATTGCTATATCCAATCTAATATCTGAAAATAAAATATAAGATATGCACAGATCTTGACAAAAGTGATGGATGGTGGATTGGCCACCGGTACATACCAGCACCGGTAAAATAACTTAGTCGATGTAGATACACAACGGCCCGGCCGCTGCTCATGCAGGAACGCGACTCGGCGAGCTTGCCGCTCGACGCCGTCGTCAAGATCAGTGCTGACAATTTCCTCCCACCGTCATCTTGAACGTCGCACCGCACCGCCTGTCAACCGTCATCTTGAACGTCGCACCGCACCGCTGCGGCCTCCGCCGCGCAACACCCACGTCCCGCGCTCCAAGGCTCGTGTACACGACACACAGGCACGCAGTCACCACGGCCCGAGTCCAGCGCCCCGGCGCGGTCACTCCTCCGCTGCATTCGCCACGCCCCGCACTCCCTGGCCGGCGCACCCGTCGCGCTCCGACGCGAACTCCAGCGACAAACGCCGGAAGGATGTAGCCGAACTCGAGCACGGACTCGAGCACAACGGCGACATATGCCTCCTCCTAACGTCAACCGCACGCTCGTACGCGTGCTCGCGGTCCCGACGCGCCGGACGCGTTCAATGCGCACCCATAACACTCACCGGTCGCGCCCGGCTCGCCGCCGCGGCTTATTGCCCTGCACCCTGCGGCCTCAACTACAGCGCAACACCTCCATGCCGCTGTGTGTCGTTGAAGCCGCCACCACGCAGGTCCTCCGCGGCCTCCTCACTATGCCGCCGTAGCCACCGCGGCCTCCTCGCCACGCCACGCACCTTCATAGACCGACACACGGCCCGGAGCATCGTGCAGCTGCTGGCGAACTCCGCCACCGCCGGCACGCCTCCGGCAAGGAGAACGACGCCCAAGATGAACCACCTCATGATACCAAATCTTGGGACAAATCCCGGACCAGCTCGCCGCTCATCTTCTCTCACTCGCTTGGACGAAGGTGGAAGAAGGAGCACACTGGATTTTCCCGGCGCACAAACGCCTCCGCCGCACGAACGGTCCCTCGGCCGCACGAACGGCCTTACTTTACTGGGCACATACCCCCGGCTCGGCTCATACCGTCACCGTGGCTCGGCAATAAACCGGCGCAACTATAAGCAATACAAGAGGGGGTTCTTATACCCCGGTGCACACACACCCAACACCCTCTAACAGCACGCACGCACGCACTAGCTAACCCACTACATACACGCACGCACGCCGGCCAAGTCACACAAACGGCTTGCTCCTTCTTTTGCTCTCCACCAACTACATGCACGCACACGTCCTATGCTTGTGCTGCATCTCCACAACAGCCGCTTGACCCAGCAAAACAAACATGCAAATAGTAATAATGGACATGATATGTTGCATGTATATACCTAAACCCTGAACGCGTTCGTTGGTATGCTTGGGCATGAGTCATGTGTGTTGTTAATTGTCTACAGTGTTGTCATTTTATATTTTATATTAATTGTAATCGTAGATCATTTTTCTTCATCTTAATTATGTTACCTTGAAGATACATATACAAATGTTGAGCCCATGTGTCTATCCGAAAGAAATGTACAAAAAACAAAAGGCATGATCCTTGTTTTGCGGGCAACAACAAACATCATTATGGTGTTATTTGCAATCCTTACAAGTCTTGCCGT